TCTTAAATCTAGACCTCCTCTTAACCTCTAGAACTTGACCTCTTAACTCTAGAACGTCTAAAACGTCTAAAACTGACCTCCTCTTAACCTCTAGAACTGACCTCTTAACTTTAGAACTGACCTCTAAACTTCTAGAACTGACCCCTTAACTTCGAGAACTGACCTCTTAACTTTAGAACTGACCTCTAAACGTCTAGAACTGACCTCTTAACGTCTAAAACTGACCTCTTAACCTCTAGAACTGACCTCTTAACTTCTAGAACTAACCTCTAAACGTCTAGAACTGACCTCTTACGTCTAAAACTGACCTCTTACCTCTAGAACTGACCTATTAACTTTAACACCTAACCTCTAGAACGCCTCTTAACTTAGAACTGACCACTTAACTCTAAAACTGACCTCTTAACCTCTAGAACTGACCTCTTAACGTCTAGAACTGACCTCTTAACGTTCTAGAACTGACCCTTAACTTCTAGAACTGACCTCTTAACTTTAGAACTGACCTCTTAACTTCTAGAACTGACCTCTTAACTTATAAACTGACCTCTTAACCTCTAGAACTGACCTCTTAATTTCTAGAACTGACCTCTTAACTTCTAGAACTGACCTCTTAACCTCTAAAACTGACCTCTTAACCTCTAGAACTGACCTTTAACTTCAGAACTGACCTCTAACTGTCTAGAGCTGACCCTTAACTCTAGAACTGACCTCTTAACCTCTAGAACGTTTAACTTCGATTTTTACTAATGACCTTTAACCTTAAACAATTTAACGTTTAAAATTCCCTCTAACTGACTTTTGTAACTTCTATACTGACCTTTTTAGAATCCTCTTAATCAATTAACTATTTGAACTTCTTGAATTGCCTCTTAACCTAGTAACTAGACCCTTAACGAGATGTTTTAACCTGTGATAGCTTTTACTTCAAGAACTGCCTATTCGGAGAACGACTCTTAACTTCTAGAACTGACCTCTAACTTCTAGAACTGACCTCTAACTCTAGAACTGACCTCTACCCTGACTGACCTCTTATTCTAGAACTGACTCTAACTCTAGAACTGACTCTTAACTTCAGAACTGACCTCTTACTCCTAAACTGACTCTTAACTTCTAGAATGACTCTAACTTCTAACTGACTCTTACCTCTAATGACCTCTAACTTCTAAACGACCTCTTACTCTAGAATGATCTCTTAACTTCTAGACTGACCTTTAACTCTAGACTACCCTAAAGTCTAGACTGCCTTTACTTCTAGAACGACCCTAACTTCTAGAACTGCTCTTACCTTAAACTAACCTCTACTTCTAGTAACTCAAACTCTAGAACTGACTCTTAATTCTAAACTGACTCTACTCTAAACTGACCTCTTACTCAGACGTCAACTAACTGACCTTCTTAACTCTAGAACGACTCTTACTCAGAACTCTAAAACTTCTAAACTGACTCCTCTAACTCAAATTGCCTCTTAACTCTAGAACGTCTAAAACTCTAAACTGACCTCCTTTAACCTAGAACTACCCTTAATTTAGAACGACCCTAAATTCTAAACGACCTTAACTTCGAGAAGACCTCTATTTGAACTGACCTCCTAAACACCTCTTACGCAACTACTAACTCAGACTGACCTCTAACTCTAGAAACCCTAACGCTAGAACGACCTTTAACGCTAAAACGCCCTACCTCTAGAACTGACCTATTAACTTTATAACTAACCTCTAAACGTCTAGAACTGACCACTTAACGTCTAAAACTGACCTCTTAACCTCTAGAACTGACCTCTTAACTTTAGAACTGACCTCTAAACGTCTAGAACTGACCCCTTAACTTCTAGAACTGACCTCTTAACTTTAGAACTGACCTCTAAACGTCTAGAACTGACCTCTTAACGTCTAAAACTGACCTCTTAACCTCTAGAACTGACCTCTTAACTTCTAGAACTGACCTCTTAACGTCTAAAACTGACCTCTTAACGTCTAAAACTGACCTCTTAACCTCTAGAACTGACCTATTAACTTCAGAACTGACCTCTAAACGTCTAGAACTGACCCCTTAACTTCTAGAACTGACCTCTTAACCTCTAGAAGTTTGAATTCGATTTTTAATTACCTTTAGAAGTTTAAATTCAATTTTAACTGTTTTTAAATTCCCTTCTGACGTTTAGAAATTCCATCTCGACGTTTTGAATTCCCTTCTGATATAAATTCAATTTTCGACATGTTATTGAATTGCTCTCTTAACGATGGTAATAAGAGCCTTAACGAGGATAGTTTACACGTGTGGATAGGTTCTACAACGATAAGCCTATCCGGGAGGAGACGCCAGGATACACTATCCGGGGACAGGAGACAACGCAGATACTCACCATCAACGAAGCCCTGGCGGAGTTCGTTGGTACTTACACAGTGAAGGTAGGTGCTCGTTAGCTGGCTGGGTGGTTAACTGGATGGTTGGATGGTAGGGTAGCTAGTTGAATGGTAGGGTAGCTAGTTGGATGGTAGGGTAGCTAGTTGGATGGTAAGGTAGCTAGTTGGATGGTAGGGTAGCTAGTTGGGTATGTAGTTGATGTAGGGTAGCTAGTTGGATGGTAAGGGTAGCTAGTTGGATGGTAGGGTGGCTAGTTGGATGGTAGGGTAGCTAGTTGGATGGGGAGGGTAGCTAGTTGGATGGTAGGGTAGCTAGTTGGATGGTAGGGTAGTTAGTTGGATGGTAGGGTAGCTAGTTGGATGGTAGGGTAGCTAGTTGGATGGTAGGGTAGCTAGTTGGATGGTAGGGTAGCTAGTTGGATGGTAGGGTGGCTAGTTGGATGGTAGGGTAGCTAGTTGGATGGAAGGGTGGCTAGTTGGATGGTAGGGTGGCTAGTTGGATGGTAGGGTAGCTTGTTGGGTGGTAGGGTAGCTAGTTGGATGGTAGGGTAGCTAGTTGGATGGTAGGGTAGCTAGTTGGATGGTAGGGTAGCTAGTTGGATGGTAGGGTGGCTAGTTGGATGGTAGGGTAGCTAGTTGGATGGTAGGGTAGCTAGTTGGATGGTAGGGTAGCTAGTTGGATGGTAGGGTAGCTAGTTGGATGGTAGAGTAGCTAGTTGGATGGTAGGGTAGCTAGTTGGATGGTAGGGTAGCTAGTTGGATGGTAGGGTAGCTAGTTGGATGGTAGGGTAGCTAGTTGGATGGAAGGGTAGCTAGTTGGATGGTAGGGTAGCTAGTTGGATGGAAGGGTGGCTTGTTGGATGGTAGGGTAGCTTGTTGGATGGTAGGGTAGCTAGTTGTGGATGGTAGGGTAGCTAGTTGGGGTGGTAGGGTAGCTAGTTGGATGGTAGGGTAGCTAGTTGGATGGTAGGGTGGCTAGTTGGATGGTAGGGTGGCTAGTTGGATGGTAGGGTAGCTTGTTGGATGGTAGGGTAGCTAGTTGGATGGTAGGGTAGCTAGTTGGATGGTAGGGTGGCTAGTTGGATGGTAGGGTGGCTAGTTGGATGGTAGGGTAGCTAGTTGGATGGTAGGGTGGCTAGTTGGATGGTAGGGTGGCTAGTTGGATGGGAAGGTAGCTAGTTGGATGGTAGGGTAGCTAGTTGGATGGTAGGGTAGCTAGTTGGATGGAAGGGTGGCTAGTTGGATGGTAGGGTGGCTAGTTGGATGGTAGGGTAGCTGTTGGATGGTAGGGTAGCTAGTTGGATGGTAGGGTAGCTAGTTGGATGGTAGGGTAGCTAGTTGGATGGTAGGGTAGCTAGTTGGATGGTAGGGTAGCTAGTTGGAGTGGTTTGAGTGGCTAGTTGGATGGTAGGGTGGCTAGTTAGGATGGTAGGGTGGCTAGTTGGATGGTAGGATAGCTAGTTGGATGGTAGGGTGACTAGTTGGATGGTAGGGTAGCTAGTTGGATGGTAGGGTAGCTAGTTGGATGGTAGGGTGGCTAGTTGGATGATAGGGTGGCTAGTTGGATGGTAGGGTGGCTAGTTGGATGGTAGGGTAGCTAGTTGGATGGTAGGGTGGCTAGTTGGATGGTAGGGTAGCTAGTTGGATGGTAGGGTGGCTAGTTGGATGGAAGGGTAGCTAGTTGGATGGTAGGGTGGCTAGTTGGATGGTAGGGTAGCTAGTTGGATGGTAGGGTAGCTAGTTGGATGGTAGGGTGGCTAGTTGGATGGTAGGGTAGCTAGTTGGATGGTAGGGTGGCTAGTTGGATGGTAGGGTAGCTAGTTGGATGGTAGGGTAGCTAGTTGGATGGTAGGGTAGCTAGTTGGATGTAGGGTGCTATTGGAGGTAGGGTAGCTAGTTGGATGGTAGGGTGGCTAGTTGGATGGTAGGGTAACTAGTTGGATGGTAGGGTGGCTAGTTGGATTGTAGGGTGGCTAGTTGGATGATAGGGTGGCTAGTTGGATGGTAGGGTAGCTAGTTGGATGGTAGGGTGGCTAGTTGGATGGTAGGGTAGCTAGTTGGATGGTAGGGTGGCTAGTTGGATGGTAGGGTAGCTAGTTGGATGGTAGGGTGGCTAGTTGGATGGTAGGGTGGCTAGTTGGATGGTAGGGTGGCTAGTTGGATGGTAGGGTGGCTAGTTGGATGGTAGGGTGGCTAGTTGGATGGTAGGGTAGCTAGTTGGATGGTAGGGTGGCTAGTTGGATGGTAGGGTAGCTAGTTGGATGGTAGGGTAGCTAGTTGGATGGTAGGGTGGCTAGTTGGATGGTAGGGTGGCTAGTTGGATGGTTTGGGTGGCTAGTTGGATGGTAGGGTGGCTAGTTGGATGGTAGGGTGGCTAGTTGGATGGTAGGGTGGCTAGTTGGATGGTATGGTAGCTAGTTGGATGGTAGGGTGGCTAGTTGGATGGTAGGGTGGCTAGTTGGATGGTAGGGTAGCTAGTTGGATGGTAGGGTGGCTAGTTGGATGGTAGGGTAGCTAGTTGGATGGTAGGGTAGCTAGTTGGATGGTAGGGTGGCTAGTTGGATGGTAGGGTGGCTAGTTGGATGGTAGGGTGGCTAGTTGGATGGTTGGGTAGCTAGTTGGATGGTAGGTGGCTAGTTGGATGGTAGGGTAGCTAGTTCTGTTGATGGTAGGGTAGCTAGTTGGATGGTAGGGTGGCTAGTTGGATGGTAGGGTAGCTAGTTGGATGGTAGGGTAGCTAGTTGGGTAGTACCCTCATCGGATAGAGCCATAACTGGATAATTGGATAGATAAATAACCCATTTAATAACCTGTCAAAACAACTAGAAAGTGATAGACAGCTAGATATCTAATTTGATAAGTTAGAATCTTAGACAATTAATCTCCTAACTTCATAGATAATTAGAATAATTTTAGTCTGTAATTACTCTTAATTATCGTGGAAGTAATTTTTTAAGATATACAGACGTCTTTAGTTTCCTTGAAGGTATAAACACTGGTGGGATACCTAGAGAAAGCGTATATATTCATGGTATTTACAAATAACCTTAGATATCCCCCTCCCTCGCTCGAGATATAACCACTGAAGGTAGGTAGATTTACCTAGTGTATATACAGCGACCGAAAACATGCCCTCGGGGGGATATCCCCAGAGAGTATACCTACCAACAGAAATATGCCTGTTGAAATCATAATATCCTCTCTGGGGCTATATCTGCTAACGGAGATATTCCTACTAAGTATATAACCACTTATACCTTAGGGGAGTATGTCTGCTCATGGAGGTATACCCGCTGGGGTGGGGGGATACTCCCTCGACTAACGGGGTTGGTATATCAACAGGCCTCGAACGAGTACGGAGAGAGTGTGTGCAAGGCTCGGTTCCGTCTCCACGAAGTGCCCGCTATCACCGAGGGTCTTAAAGACGTTGAATTTCTTGAGGATACCACTTGCAAGTATACCTTCAAGGCCACGGGTATCCCACTGCCGGAGATTAAGTGGTAAGTGGCTGGGTGGAGGTTATTCGACTCAAAGTGGGAGGCTCTAACCTCCGTTCTTGGTTGAATAATTTTCGGTTTCACGGGTAAGTAAATTTGGGATAATTAACTAGCCTAGGTGGTTAATTAATTGGGCTAGGTGGATAATTAACTGGCTTAAGTGGGTAATTAACTGGCCTAGCGGGGTAATTAAGTGGGCTAGTTGAAAGGCTCTTGATTCGAGGAACCGGAGGCGCCCTCCCTATCCTCGGATTAAATCTTTAATTTATCCCATTCCCCCAGGTGCTCTATAACCCCTACGGGTTTAGCGCCTCAACTATGAATTTAATAATAATAATGTTGATAATAGTTATAATAATAATACTGATAATAATAATAATAATAACGATAATAATAATAATTATAATAATACTGATAATACATAAGTTTTGACAGTACAGATACTTAAATATACTTAAAGATACCACAGTGACAGTAAGAAAAACACCTGAGCGCTTTCATGTGCTTACACATGTCTTCAGAGGAATTGTAAATATGTGTGTGTAAGCGCATGAAGGCGATCAGGTGTTGTCCCTGTTTTTACTGTTTGCAATCACGAATTTGTTGTTATTTCTTCCACGAATATACATATGTGTGTTTCTCATGTCCTTCCTTATTAGGTAGTCGGTATTGTATTCGCCATATAACACGCACACAGGAGAGAGAAGCACTGGCGGACCTATGTTTTGGGGGCCCTGAAGCTTGCCCTGTTATGGTGTCCCTTTGGCAAACCCCTTCTCATACAGTAGACCCTGAAGTTTTAAGTATTGTGGACTAAAGTCACTTTTGGGGCCACCTCATGGATTAGGGATCCTGAAGCTTTACTCCATTAGTTTTATCCGTCCCTGGAGAAACGCTCACGCCGATGTTACTTTGAAAATGGTCCAAGTCGGTCCGAAACGTCGTGGTAAGCTTTTCTCTCCTATGTGTGGGCTATTTGTGTATAGTTTCAGTCACGGTATTGTGCCATTTTTTAATTCGGTATTGTGTACTGTTTGTATGATGGGCAAATCATACAATTCTCCGTCGCCAGGACTAAGGACGGGAAGAAGTGGGCTCCGGACGAGCGCCGCATCAAGCTGAAGGTTGAGAACGAGGATACCTTCACGTTGATCTTCGACGAGGCCAAACCTGAGGACTCTGGTGTTTACGTCGCTACCGTTAGCAACGTTGAGGGTTCCACCGAGACCCAGGGAACCATCGTAGTCAACAGTAAGTGGGTCAAACTGTGGCAGCGGGCTATATGTTCTGATGTGGAGAGGCTACACACCATGTTTCACTCGTGTGTGGTGATTGTCTGTTGAAACGTCATGTATTTCTATAGATAAACTTTTGTTTTCTGTAGTTTGTCACAACTGTGTGTCACTCTGAAGAGTGTCTTCCATTCTTTGCCCTTCAAGAGGGAGCTGGACAGATTCCTAAAGTCAGTGCCCGAACAGCCGGGCTGTGGTTCGTACGTTGGATTATGTGCGACCAGCAGTAATAGACTGGTTGAGCAAGCCCTGATCCACCGTTGAAGCCTGGCCAAAGACTGGGCTGCGGGGGGCGTTAACCCTTCGAACGACCTTCAGGTAGACCTTCAGGTAGACCACCTGTGTATTGGAGAGTGCCTTTGGCATGAAACTAGGGTAGCTACTTCCGTGATAATTCCATCTCAGGTCATCTTTCCACAGTGCCTGTTTTTGGTACCTTGTGTCAGCGATCACCAACAGCTTGACTGGTTATAGACTTTGATTTAGCGGACGGAGGACCGAGCCTTCACAACTCCTTAAACTGAATAATCCACACGGATCATTGAGGCACTTGTGCAACACTTAGGAGCCTTTATTCTGGAAATGTTCCGCCAGTCAGTAGCTTCTTCAGTTCAATACAGGTAAAAACGGTGGAAGATGAGGAGGAGTTTGAGGTAATCAGTCCCTCAGCCTGGAGCCGATGTGTTCAGTCCATCAATCTTGTCCGTGTCTCAGTTATCAACTTACCGGTTTTCTAAATCATTTGTACAAATCCTTGCGTTTGTGTATGCAATCTTGATGGGATAAACGTCAAGGGAGGGCACAGTCGTGTTTCTCCACCTTCAGGATGAACTCTGTAGAAGGTTTCGTGGAGTTGAGAACTTTGTTGAATCTATAATTGTCTAAACATCTAGGCAAGACCAGAAAGTCATATGCATATCACGGCCACGTGATGTTGAGTGGAACATTGATGTTGACCCGTGATGAATGTTGGCAAGACAGCACGGAGAGGTGATCCCATTACCATACCAAATTTTGATACATAGAGAGATCATCCTCAAAAGAGAGGAAAAAAAAAGGTTGAACCTTGGGCTACCTATGTGCTATAAAAGGCAATGTATTTGTGTATACTTTCTACATTTAAAAAAGTCAAGCCCAATTATAAAATAGTCCCCTACAACGCAGTCTTTCTTTTAGTATTCTTGAATCCCCTTACGGGCTTAGTGCTTCCCTATATGATAATCGCAGGCACATTAGCCTACCTAAAACATTGATTATCACATAATTATTTTAAATATATTTTCACAATAAATGGAATCAAATGATATACATTATTAATTATACTTTCAAGAACATTACCTTGTCTTTACGAGTATTACATTGTCTTTACGAGTATTACATTGTCTTTACCAGTATTACATTGTCTTTACCAGTATTACCTTGTCGTCAAGAGTATTACCTCGTCTTCAAGAGTATTTCTTTGTCCTCAAGAGTATTGCCCAGTGTTCAAGAGGTATTACTCTTAGTGCGTAGGAAACATTTGTCCTCTTCTGTATAAACGGGTATTAAGACTTCCTGTCTTGTTTATGTCTGTAGTGTTGTTGTTCTTGTTTCTGTATTGCCGGTTTTCAACTCTCATCTCCCTCAGCTCCTCCTCCTTTATCCTCTACCTTCCTTCAGCCCCTCCTATTTCAGCCCCTCCTTCTTCAGCCCCTCCTCCTTCAGCCCCCTCCTCTCTCACGTTTGATAGTGGAGGAGGGTGGCGGCCATGACTTGTGTTTACATTCCGTTTTCTGTGAGAGTGAGATGAGAGTGAGGGTGGGCAAGGTAGGTGTGTCTTCACTATTTATACTTGAAAGAAAATGGCATATTGGATTTTAGTGATTTAAATTCCCAGTTAACACAGACACATTCATTTTTGTCTCGTCGACCTTTTTTTTATCCATTAATATCCTGTATATATTTTCATGTGCATGTATTTTCAGGACTCATTTTTTTCATAACAGTAGAGTCGTGTAGGGCACTGGAGGGGGAGGAGAGAGCCTTCTGCTTTACTGTCCTGTACTTCTCTATCCTTACAAGACCTAGATCACTTGGTCAAACAGTGCATCTCAGTTTTATCGAGGAAATAAATCAGTATAATTCAAGGTCTTTCTTAGTCTGTCTTTATCAAGGTCTTCACCTGTCTGTCTTCCATACACAGACACACACACACACACACACACCACGGGAGGAGTAAACAGATGAATGGACGAGGACTCGAACCGTGGTCCTTGCATGTAGTATGCCCATCCTTCTGTTTATTCATTGGTAGCTGTTCATTATATATATATATATATATATATATATATATATATATATATATATATATATATAATATATATTGCACACACATTGGTAAACAAGATATCCAAATGTCAGTTTTCTTCAGGTATTTAACTACCTTATATTCCGGCATATAAGACGCACTTTTTTCCCCACGAAAACTCTTGGAAAATCATCCTGCGTCTTATATGCACAAGGTCGGGGGGTCAAGGGTACGCTTTGAGTTACGTTATAGCAGTTGTTTACTAACGTTACGTCACAACTACTGGGAAACGTCATCTTATACGTCATAGTCTCGTGCGCCTTATATGCCGGAATATACGGGAACTTTTTTTTTTTTTAATGTTGATTTGACTCTTATGTTCTCTAAGAGAGACGAAGGGACTTTCAACCTTATTATCTCCTTAACTAAGGGTCATCATTATCTTTTAACCTGATCTCTACAATATCAGTAGATAATGACGGCATAAGGTTGAAAATGGCTTCGTCGTCTGTAAATGTAAATAATGAGCAGGTCAGTATTTTCATTTACAGTCACTGTTAAGAATTTGCATTGAATTCTTTTTGGAATTAACTTTTTTTCCGTGTGTTTTTTTAATACTGTTTTTTTTGTGTCACTGTGGAAGAAAATGCTTCGATCGTCTTTAAATTTCAATTGTTACGACCTGTGTTTGGGTTGGTGGAATTTTTTTTAATCCACTGACGATTGAACGTCGTGTTGTTGTGTTTTTTCTTCGTTATTCTGAATTATCTCTTCTTCATCCTCTTCTGTACCTATATTTATTTATTTTTACACCTTCCTTTTAAATCTTAATTTCTCTGTAATGATTCTGTATTTTGTTTTATATATAATTCAGCGAGATAATAAATTAAGCGAAGGTTGAGGGGGAAATTGCATACAGTAACCTCTGTTTTAAAGATTTTTTTTCCGTACAGTTAAGTTTTTTAAAGGTAATGGATTAGAAAGGGTCATTTAAAAATTGAATAGTACGTTCTGTGAAGGCCTTTTTTGACCTTTTCATCTGATATTCAATTTTAGATGGACTTTTTTCAGTACCATTTAGAGAACACATTGTATAGAGGGTCTTTATAAGAGGAGCTGACTAAATTTAAGGTAAATTATTCACTTGTTCTTGATGGTATATTCCTAAATTGAAACACTTTATACTTATAAAATGCTATTTTCATCTCAACGTTTCGCCCATTAATTAAACGATCACATTTTATCCTATATGTGTGTGTGTCATTCTTCTCTGTGTAGCAGGGCGACGGATACTAGTCGGCCCGTTGAATCTAGCAAAGGGATCGCTAGATTGGGTTCCCAGCCTAGCGATGATGCTGGGGACCTCACTGCCGCGATCCAGGACGCCAAGAAAGTCCCCGTGGTTGCTGGAAAGACGCGTGACGTAGCTGGAAAGTGTGTTGTGAATGGTCCAGGCCAGTCAGGTGTGGAGAGTGAGATAGACCAATCAGAGGCGTCTTTGAGTGGCAGAGAACCAGCGCTACCAGAGGGCAAAGGCAAGAGAAAACTCTCGCGGGATTCAGATCAGGAGGCAAAGGAAACTGCGAAAGTTTTGGAAGAGGCAGAAGCGGAGAACGTGGAGACGGGAGAAAGCGACACGGAAGTCCCCGAGAACGCAATTTCTAATGAACCCGGCTCCGCTAAGAGAATGAAACGAACCCCCGATACTTGGACAACCATCTCGTCAGTTCACACGTCGAACAAGATGGAGACAGAGACGAATGTCTCTGGCGATCGCGAGACTTCACTGATGAAGGCCGTGAACGTGACGATCAGCGAGGCAACTTCTACGAGAGACGGAGACCAAGAAGGAGACGAGGACGAAGATAACAGGCTGGTGTTCACGAAGTCGTGGGACGTGGAGGAGAAGGAGGGGCAGCCAGGGATGAGATTACTCGCCTCCTGCAGCATTCATCGTCAGGAGAATGTCACCAAGACCGTTATTACTGGTGAGTATTTTTTACATATGGTGGATTTTAGTGAGAGAGAGACAGACAGACAGAGATAGACAGAGAGAGGCAGACACACAGAAGGAGACAGGCAGATAGACAGAGAGAGAGAGAGGCAGACATACAGAGAGACAGGCAGATAGACATAGACAGCGAAGCTGAGAGATAGAAAACAGACAGCCATGCTGAGAGATAGAAGGCAGATAGACAGCCAGGCTGAGAGACAAAGAGAGAGACAGACAGACAAGGATATGGAAAAAATAGTAAAAGACACAGAGAGATGAATAACAATAAATATAAGAATACAGGGTTAAAAATAGGGATAAGAAAATATAATGCATAAAGAAAAGTAATAATAAAGTTGGAGTAACAAGAGTAGGTATGATAACAGTGGTGGAGATAATAAGAGTGATGTAAAGAGAAAGATTGGGAGATAGCAACATACGAAAATAATGTGAGACAGACCAAAATTATTTTGAGGTTTATAATTTGTTTTTGTGATTCATCTTTAGTTAAATATAGAACCTCGGTTTTCGTATGCCCCAGTTTTCGTAGGATTCGATTTTCGACGACTATTTTGTCGAAATGAAATTCAGTGGATACTGAAATTTTTCTTCTTCAAATTCTAATCAAACTGGTTATATCAGAGTTTGCTAGATTAGCAGCTGCTGGAATGAAAGTGTGTGTGTGTGTGTGTGTGTGTGTGTGTTGCAGTTAGGTCTGCTGGAATGAAAACACATTTGTCTTGTGTTGCAGCTGAGTCTACTGGAATAAAACTGTTTATTTCGTGATGCAGCTAAGACTGCTGGAATGAAGGTATATTTTTCTTGTGTTGCAGCTGAGTCTGACGTGGGAGACGAGGACGACGTGTCCAGGGCTGCTATCGTCCATTACACCAAGACCGTGGAAGTCGAGCAGTACAAAGGTGTGTTCTCTGATGACGAGGACGACGCCGAACTGCCGCTCCAGAACGGCAGTTCCAAAGCCACAGTCGCTCCCGTCCTACCGGAGAGCAGAGACGACGCGCAACCAGACAGCCACGACGACACCTGTAGAAAAGACGACGTCGTTGCAAAGGCTAAGAAGCATAAAGAAGCCGAAGAGTCTTTGTTAAACCTTTGTGAAGTGCGTCAAGAGCCTCCGCCAAAGAAACGAGCGATCAAGTCTGTTTCCTTTGAAGACAGTCCTGGAGTAACTGAAGAGGGAAGTGAAGGGAGGGAGAAGGACTTGCCCGGAGAAGAGGAACTGGAACCGAGGGTAGAGGGCTCCGCCGGCGGCTCAGAGAGGAATACTGATGCCTCATCCATCCCCGCTGATAACGAAGCCAGAGGCGATAACACGAACTCGGCGGCTCCGGTCTCTGAAACCACGGACTTGAGAACGAAGAAGGGCAGTGACACCAAGAGAAACCTCCAACCCTCTGATAGCATCGCGCCAGTCGAGGCTTCCAGAGCCCAAAAAGTGTCCCAGGAGGAGCTAAGTAGAAGCTACTCAGCTTCCATTGATCCCAGAGGAGGTAAAGAAGGCGGAAAGAAGAGTAGTCACCGCTGCCAGCTATTGCTTTGATGTTCTAACTTCAAGTAAATAATATGCTTATTTTTGATAAAACTCATCCAATGTTGTTGCTCGAGAGTGATCCTCGAGCTGAAGTCATTAGTTAACATCCTCAACTCACCATCAACTCACCGTAGAACGCACCGATTGCGTTAATTACGCTCCCAGTGTTTAACCAAATGCTGCGTAATCTCAGAGATCTTAATCGACACACGCTAAAGCCTTTTCTTCAAACCTAAACGACCATATGTAAAAAATCTAAATCTAATTAACCCAAGCATGTGTACAGCGTGGCCGGACGGGGCAAACCTGCCGGCTGTATCGGCCAGTTGTAGATTACATCTCACATGGCTATCCGTAACAGTAGATATATCTGTAATATTTGTAACTAGTTTCTGTAATACCTATAATCTCGCCCGTACTTATCATTTAAAACTTTCGCGTTATTTCTGTGTTTTATTGCTGTTATTTGCGTTTTATTTTCTCGTATTATCGCTGTTCTATGTTTTATTTCTCGTATTATTGCTATTTTATGGTTTATTTTCTCGTATTATTGCTGTTCTGTGTTTTATTTCTCGTATTATTGCTATTTTATGGTTTATTTTCTCGTATTATTGCTGTTCTGTGTTTTATTTCTCGTATTATGGCTGTTTAATGGTTTATCTGTTTAATCCCTTTTTTTACGGGGTTACTTTTATTAACTGCGTGTGTGTCTACCATTATCCTTCCCTTCCCTACGCCTCTACATTGTTCTAGTAATCATTTTGTCTTCGTTCGCGAGATCCTGATGTCACGACTGTAAACAGAGTCAAAATTCTGTCAGATTGAGAGGCAGAATCTAAATCTAGAACTCCTGGAAAGAGCTCTTGTGTTGAGCTATCAGTCCAGTACAGAGAAGAATGATGAAGATCACAAGTGTGAGGTAATCGGTCCCTCGGCCTGGAATCGAGGTAATCGGTCCCTCGGCCTGGAATCGAGGTAATCGGTCCCTCGGCCTGGCATTGAGGTAATTAGTCTCTCAGCCTGGAATCGAGGTAATCGGGCCCTCAGCCTGGAATCAAGGTAATCGGCCCCTCGGCCTGGAATCGAGGTAATCGGTCCCTCGGCCTGGAATCGAGGTAATCGGTCCCTCTGCCTGGCATTGAGGTAATTAGTCCCTCAGCCTGGAATCGAGGTAATCGGTCCCTCAGCCTGGAATCGAGGTAATCGGTCCCTCAGCCTGGAATCGAGGTAATCGGTCCCTCGGCCTGGAATCGAGGTAATCGGTCCATCAGCCTCGAATCGAGGTAATTAGTCCCTCAGCCTGGAATCGAGGTAATCGGTCCCTCGGCCTGGAATCGAGGTAATCGGTCCCTCGGCCTGGAATCGAGGTAATCGGTCCCTCAGCCTGGAATCGAGGTAATTAGTCCCTCAGCCTGGAATCGAGGTAATCGGTCCATCATCCTGGAATCGAGGTAATTAGTCCCTCAGCCTGGAATCGAGGTAATCAGTCCCTCAGCCTGGCATCGAGGTAATCGGTCCCTCGCCTGGAATCGAGGTAATCGTCCATCAGCCTCGAATCGAGGTAATTAGTCCCTCAGCCTGGAATCGAGGTAATCGGTCCCTCGCCTGGAATCGAGGTAATCGGTCCCTCAGCCTGGAATCGAGGTAATTAGTCCCTCAGCCTGGAATCGAGGTAATCGGTCCCTCAGCCTGGAATCGAAGTAATCGGTCCCTCAGCCTGGAATCGAGGTAATCGGTCTTTTCAGGATTGATGGATTGATTACCTCAAACTCCTTCCGATCTTCACCATTCTTCTCAGAATTGGACTGATGAAACCAGTGTGGCGAAACGTTTCCGCAGTATACACAAGTGTTACACATATGTCCAATCCATCAACCTGTTGGGTCTCTGAGCCATTTATCGACGTAATTTAACATGCACGACAGTGATATTTTCTGACCTTTTTTAAGTAATTTTTATATGAGGGACATTTTTCTCTCTTTAATGTTACGAAAATGTGTAAATTTCAGTAATTACGCTGGTCTTCAGACCACTTAAGAGTACTTAAGGGGGCAGGAAGCCACTTTAAAACCCATCCTCTTTCTTTTTTGCGTACAGCTTCGCACTTAACTTGATGTGAATGGAGATTTATACACACTTATCCCGTATATAGGAGAGAGGAGCTTACGACGACGTTTTGGTCCAACTTAGACCATTTACAAAGTCACAGGGGGACTTGTAAATGGTCCAAGTCGGACCGAAACGCCGTCGTAAGCTCCTCTCTCTGTCCTATTTGCTGGCTATTCGTGTATTGTTCCAATCACGGTGTTGTGTTGGGTGTCATGATGCTAAAGGGCTGTTAATCCTTCCCTCAAACCGGTTTAACGACGCTTTAACAGCAGTCTCCTTAACCTTCAGTGAATGAGCGTATCACATCCCCTTTAACCCCTTGCTTTCGGCACCAGCTTCCGGCACTCCTTCCGGCGCTACTGCCTAGCGCTACACACTGCGCTACTTCCGTTTCTCCCCTCGCTAATCTCTTTTTTTTACGCTGTCTCCCCCTCGACCACTAGCGCCGCCACACATCAAGGGTAGCAACTTCCGCGATGGCAAGACCTTCATCGCCATGCATAAGTGTGTCCTCGAAGTAGAGGCTACGGCAGTACCCGAGGCTGAAGCTACTTGGTGAGTCTGGCTATTGTCTGTCTATCGTAGGAGTATTGGTGTGACTGTTGTGCTAGCATAGTGTGGCAATTGTGACTATTGTATGGGTATTGTGTGACTTATGTGACTGTTGTGCGAGGATTATGTGACTTGTCTGACTATTATCTGGCTAGTGTCCTAGCATTGCCTGACTATATGTGAGCATTATGTAACTAGTGTGCGACTGCTGTGTGTATAGTGCATAATGTGTAAGTGTGTGTACTCTGTACATATTGTGTGTACATGTGTAGGGGAATTGTGTGGGATTGTTACCGAGAATAGGGGACAGTAATGCACCTATTCATTATCATTTTTCCAAAATACAATTGAAAAAGTTGATAAGTGAAGAACACGTACTATGAGGGCCACTCAACGTGGTAATCAACTTCAGATGCTCCTTTTTTAATCTTAGTTACGAAAAACATCGTTCTGGGTAGATGAGGGTCTTAAGGGAGGTTACTGCATTGCGTTTCACAAAGAATCGTTGTTTTTTATATCGAATTTCAGAGAGATTTCTGTCTTGTGTTGGATTTCTTTGAGGGAAAGAATACTTGACAGCTGTTTTTGACAGGTACTGCAACGGGAAGAAGCTGTCGGAGGAGGAAGACAATGTCAAGTTCGGCTTTGATGGGACTAAGTACACTCTGGAGAGGATAGGTTGTGATCCCGAGCACTCGGGACAGTACAAGTGTGTACTCAAAAACAAGATCAAGGAGGTGGAGGAAGTCGGTCAAGTCACAGTGAAGGGTGAGTGTACTCTCCTATTTGTAGTTGTAAGGGTCGATTCATAGCTCCTGGCCCCGCCTCTTTGCTAGTTGCTGCTAGGTCCACTCTCTCTCTCTGTTTCAAGTGCTTTATCTTACCTCTTCTTGAAGCTTTGTATTGATCCTGCCTCCACTACTTCATTCTTCAGATTGTTCACTTCCTGACAACTCTGTGGCTGAAAAAATACTTCCTAACATCCCTGTGACTTATCTGACTTTTCAACTTTCAATTGTGACCCCTTGTTGCTGGCCAGCCTCTTTATAACGACCCATCATCTCCTTTTTTTTCAAAAATAAAAACTTCTGTCTTTACTAACTCAATAAATTCGTCTCCCACCAAAAGAAAAAATTTACCATCTTCAGTAAATCTATTTCAAAAATTCTATTTAAAAAAAAAATTCTTCTACGTCTGTAACCCCTCTGTCAAGATGGCGTCCTCCCGACCCTCTTCACGACCACTATTAAAACTTTCGAGAAACTCTTTCCTTACCCTCTAATCACCCTGAGAGGTAATTATCGAACCTCATTTGTTTAATTCAAACCACATTTTTTCCAATTTCCTCCCATCAGTCTATTATTTATCTGTTTTATTGCAGTTCCCTCTTTCGTTGATGTATATTTGTTTCTCTCTCGTATTTTTCCATTTCGTTTCGTTGTTCCTCTCAAATTTCTTGAGAGGGATAATTTATTTGAGAATTTCCATCATGTTAAAATACATGGAAGGCTCCATCACATTAATATCTGGTATTTACAGAGAAGGAGGCTCGCGTGAGGACCAAACTTCAGGATGTTTCAGTGAAGGAATTCACAGATGCTGTTATCAAGTGTCAGATAGTGGGTGACCCTGTCCCTGAAGTTCAGTGGTGAGTAGTATCCCTGAAGTTCATTGGTGAGTAGTATCCCTGAAGTTCAGTGGTGAGTAGTATCCCTGAAGTTCATTGGTGTGTAGTATCCCTGAAGTTCAGTGGTGAGTAGTATCCCTGAAGTTCAGTGGTGAGTAGTATCCCTGAAGTTCAGTGGTGAGTAGTATCCCTGAAGTTCAGTGGTGAGTAGTATCCCTGAAGTTCAGTGGTGAGTAGTATCCCTGAAGTTCAGTGGTGAGTAGTATCCCTGAAGTTCATTGGTGAGTAGTATCCCTGAAGTTCAGTGGTGAGTAGTATCCCTGAAGTTCATTGGTGAGTAGTATCCCTGAAGTTCAGTGGTGAGTAGTATCCCTGAAGTTCAGTGGTGAGTAGTATCCCTGAAGTTCAGTGGTGAGTAGTATCCCTGAAGTTCAGTGGTGAGTAGTATCCCTGAAGTTCAGTGGTGAGTAGTATCCTGAAGTTCATTGGTGAGTAGTATCCCTGAAGTTCATTGGTGAGTAGTATCCCTGAAGTTCAGTGGTGAGTAGTATCCCTGAAGTTCAGTGGTGAGTAGTATCCCTGAAGTTCAGTGGTGAGTAGTATCCCTGAAGTTCATTGGTGAGTAGTATCCCTGAAGCTCATTGGTGAGTAGTATCCCTGAAGTTCAGTGGTGAGTAGTATCCCTGAAGTTCAGTGGTGAGTAGTATCCCTGAAGTTCAGTGGTGAGTAGTATCCCTGAAGTTCATGGGTGAGTAGTATCCCTGAAGTTTCAGTGGTGAGTAGTATCCCTGAAGTTCATTGGTGAGTAGTATCCCTGAAGCTCATTGGTGAGTAGTATCCCTGAAGTTCAGTGGTGAGTAGTATCCCTGAAGTTCATTGGTGAGTAGTATCCCTGAAGTTCATTGGTGAGTAGTATCCTTGAAGTTCAGTGGTGAGTAGTATCCCTGAAGTTCAGTGGTGAGTAGTATCCTGAAGTTCAGTGGTGAGTAGTATCCCTGAAGTTCAGTGGTGAGTAGTATCCCTGAAGTTCAGTGGTGAGTAGTATCCCTGAAGTTCAGTGATGAGTAGTATCCCTGAAGTTCATTGGTGAGTAGTATCCCTGAAGTTCAGTGGGGGAGTAGTATCCTGAAGTTCAGTGGTGAGTAGTATCCCTGAAGTTCAGTGGTGAGTAGTATCCCTGAAGTTCATTGGTGAGTAGTATCCCTGAAGTTCAGTGGTGAGTAGTATCCCTGAAGTTCAGTGGTGAGTAGTATCCCTGAACTTCAGTGGTGAGTAGTATCCCTGAACTTCAGTGGTGAGTAGTATCCCTGAAGTTCAGTGGTGAGTAGTATCCCTGAAGTTCATTGGTGAGTAGTATCCCTGAAGTTCAGTGGTGAGTAGTATCCCTGAAGTTCAGTGGTGAGTAGTATCCCTGAAGTTCAGTGGTGAGTAGTATCCCTGAAGTTCAGTGGTGATAGTATCCCTGAAGTTCAGTGGTGGGGTAGTATCCCTGAACTTCAGTGGTGAGTAGTATCCCTGAAGTTCAGTGGTGAGTAGTATCCCTGAAGTTCAGTGGTGAGTAGTATCCCTGAAGTTCAGTGGTGAGTAGTATCCCTGAACTTCAGTGGTGAGTAGTATCCCTGAAGTTCAGGGGTGAGAGTAGTATCCTGAAGTTCAGTGGTGAGTAGTATCCCTGAAGTTCAGTGGTGAGTAGTATCCCTGAAGTTCAGGTGTGAGCGTTGAACTATCCCTAGAGTGGTGTTGAACTATCCCAGAAGGGATAGAGTATCCCTAACATGTCAAATCATGACACAGTATTTATTTTAAGGTTGGAAACATGGCGCTCTCTTCGCCCACAATGCAGTGCGTGTGTTGTGTTACAGGCTGAGGAACGGGAAGCCTCTGGTAGCCTCCGACAAGTACGAGATATCCTGCGAAAGGATGTCAGGATGGCAGACCCTGGTGGTCAAGGATGTCAAGGAGGCTGACAAATGCTCCTTCACTGTCAAGGGCAAGAACCAGCACGGGGAGTGCGAAACATCGGTGAGGGAGACTATGTTTCTGTCTTTCTGTCTATCACTCTCTATCTGTATCTATCTATCTATCTATCTCCATATTTAATACTTCTGAAAAAATCATAATTTTTGTAATAATAATAATAATAATAATAATAATAATAATAATAATAATAGCATAATAATAATAGTAATAATTTGCATAATCTTACTTAATGTAACGAAACAATTTGGTTACACCTAGTGTACTGTAGCAGTGTATTGTAACACTTAAGTGTATTTCAATACTGTCTTCACTGCAGTGTCGTCTTGGCGTTCTGGTGAAGCCTCAGCCTGGCGCCCTGGATGATGCCACGGTGGATTACGGCAGAGATCTTCATCTCGTGGACCATATCCACGCCTTCCCTCCACCCGTCATGGTTTGGTGAGTTGATACTTATATATACATAGCTTTAAAAAGAGGTACGATAGGCTCTGGGAGCTGGGAGAGGTTGGATCTAGTAGCGACCAGCTGAGACACGGGTCCAAGAGCTGTAAATCGATCCCTACAGCTAAATATAGGTGAATACACACACAAAAAACACACACAAAAAACACACACATGATCATAGCAAAAATAATCTATGTCTAAAGTTTAGATTTAGAAAGAACGTAGGTAAGTACTCGTTTTTAAACAGAGTTGTCGATGTGTGGAACAATTTTCCGAGTACATGGAACAATCTGCCGAGTACATGGAACAATCTGCCGAATATGGTAATAGAGGCGAAGACCTTGGCTGGGTTTGACTGGTACCTGGGGTACTGAAGCAGATTCTGGGTAGCTTTGGGAAAGATGTGGAGATACTCGTGGGTGGGAGTGAGTGGTTTTGATAAGGATTTGCCTAGTATAGGCCAGTGGGCTTTCTGCAGTGTTCCTCCTTCTTATGCGCTTAAGAACCTGTCTATCTACAGAGATAGACTGAGTCAGAATGTCAAAGCGGTAAATAATACCGACAGTTTGATAAGACACATATGCAACAGTTAGGTATCTTTATTCCGAAACGTTTCGCCTACACAGTAGGCTTCTTCAGTCAAGTACAGATGAGGTAGCAGGAGCAGTAGAGATGTGAAGACGATGTCATCAGTTCACCACTTTCTGCCCAACACTCTAGTCTAGAGATGTGAAAATTTAGGTATCTGCGGATGTGGATGTGTGTGAGGATGTCCGACTTATTTCGCGGATGCGGATGTATGTACGGATATCTGTTTACAGTAAAATGCGGGTGCGGATGCGAATGCGGATGCGGATGCGGATGCGGATATCCGTTACATCTCTAGTCTGGAGACAGGTCCAGTAAAGCCTTCATCCCCGTGTATAACTCTACGGTCCCCGCTGCCCAGGTTTCAATACCTATTTCTGTTTACAATGCATCTCTCCCCCGTAAACTTGATTTGTTAAAAAAAATAAAAACTGGAATCCACTAGGGAAGACAGGGGCCAGAGCATGGGAAAAATTATATAGAAAGTAAAGGACAGAAGAAAACAAGAGAAGAGAGAGAAAAAAGACGGAAATGAATTTGTAAAGGTGAGAGTGGTAAGTTGGGTACAGTATAGCAGCAAAAGCAGAAAGACAGGAATGGTTGGTTCTGAGAAGGACCTGCCTTGTATGGACCAGTAGGCCTTCTGCAGTGTTCTATTCTTATGTTCTTGAAGAATAAAAAGGCACATTACCGTGACTTGAGCAATACACAAATAACCGGCACATAAGGGAGAGAAGCTTACCACGATATATCTTACTGAAGGACTCGCAAAATTCCTTTTTGTAGGACCCACACAGGTCTTTTCTGTAGGACATATACAGGTCTTTCCTGTAGGACACACACAGGCCCCTCCTGTAGGACACACACAGGTCTTTTCTGTAGGACACACACAGGTTTTTCCTGTAGGAATAACAGCCTGGTTGATCAGGCTCTGATCCACCGGGAGGCCTGGTCATGGACCTGGCCGCGGGGGCGTTGATTCCCGGAATAACCTCCAGGTAACCTCCAGCACACACACACAGGTCCCTCCTGTAGGACACACACAGGCCCCTCCTGTAGGACTCACACAGGTTCTCCCTTGCAGGACTCTGAACGGGAAGGAACTGAAGGATGGGAAGCACTACGAATACACGCGAGACGAGGAGAAAGAGATCTACGGACTGGTGATTCACTCTGCCGTCTTGGAAGATGCTGGCAAGATCGCCTTCACAGCCTCCAACGCCGCCGGCAGCGAGACTGTCTCCTGCACCGTTACCGTCCACAGTAAGTCCCACGTATATAAAAATATTACCCCCTTCCTCCCTCTTTTTCTTATGACCTGCCTTTTAGACAGACGTTTCGGTCCAGGAAGGGCTCTGGTCACTAACTCTCACTCCTGATAAAGTTGAGAAACCGTAAGTCGTTGGAGCTCTTGGGAACTTAAACTACTGTCATATAACGTGTGTATTACTAGGTAATAGTAACTCTAGTCCCTGATAGTTTAGATGGCGGGATAGGAGAGTCACTCTTTGTCTTTCTAACTCTCTTTCTCTACTGTTACAGCTGAGAAACCATCAGTCGTTGGAGCTCTTGAGAATCTGGACTACTGTCTGGAAGACGACGTTACCTTCACACTGAGAGCCACGGGTCTGCCGCTGCCGCAGTGTCAGTGGAAAAAGAACGGAGTGTCGGTCAAGGAAGACGCCAGGCACACCATCACCAACCCCGAGCCCGGGGTGTACTGCCTCATCATCAAAGACCTCAACTTAGACGACTATGGCGAGGTGAGGGAGAAGGGAAGGATAGGCGAGTGAGGAGGATACAAGGGAACAATGAGAATGCATTTACACGCCATCTGTTGCACAAAGAGTACAATAAACGGTACATTTATACATTAAGAGTATTTACACGCCATCTATTGTACAAAAATTACAATAAACAGTATATTTATATACTAAAGGGTCATTTGCACGCCATCTGTTGCACTAAAAAGTCAACCAGACGTTCATTTATCCACGAGAAGTACTTTTTTTACACCATCTATTGGACAGATAATAAACTAGACGTTAATTTATTTATTGAAAGTGCACTCGTATGTCATCTATTGCACAAATAGTGAACTTAAATACTCATTGACCTCCTCAGGTTTCCGTGGTGGCGACGAGCTTGGTGGGAGAGTGCAGCTCTACGGCGAGGCTTACTCAGAAGAAACTGGCGTGCGAGGTGGTCGAGGGCCTCGACAACGTAACCAGGGGCGCTGAGGGCGAAGACGTTACCCTCACCGTCAAGATCAGGGCCTCTCCGAGACCCAACTTCGTCTGGTAAGTCCCTGAAAGACCTGGGGAAAGGAGGGACAAAGGTGTGGGACGGAAGGGACGAGCAGTGTAATAACATGAATCTCATGGGACAATGTATCCTGGTTTTCATGGTACAACATAATAAAACGTCTCATGGTACAATATAGTACCACGTCTCATGGTACAATATAATACCATGGCTATTACAGTACAATATAATACCATGTCTCTCATGGTACAATATAATACCATGGCTATCCCACGGTACATTAAAACAAGCCGGTAAAACATTCTATAGAATATAAGAACTCGAAGGAAACGGACAGGAATGGACTCATTTAGGACACCGCAAACGTGTCGACCCTTGGACGCAGAAGTGGTCAGTCCAAGGACCGAAACATTTGCCGACAGTCATTTGTCTTACTAAATACGGGAACTGACAAGAACTTGAAGATTACACACAAACAACAGGTCTAGTTCAGTAATACATTGGTGTTTCTGGAAATATTTAGTGCAGAATTTGGGAAACTAATATTTGTGGATATTTTGTAATGTGATATTTCGTAAACTGTTTGTAGAGGACTGGGAAGGACCGTACGTTGTTCGTAATAGCAACGTACAAGTACTTCAGGTATTGTTTACATGACTGCACTTGGCCACACTTCCGTTTATGTACACACTGGAATTGTACTTAGATTACATTCTCGAGTGACTAGTTCTAGAGTTTAGGTATTTCCTGTTTTCTTCCCCCTCCACCACCATTTTTTTTCTCTCCCTCTCCCTTTTTTTTCCTCTCTCTTTCTTTCCCTCCCTCCCTCTCTTCCTCCTCCGTCTCTGCACCAGGACTCTGACCGCACGTAAGAGTAAGTCTTGTTATCCAGTTTTGTGTCGCAATTCTCATTCGTTATTCTTGCCCCCCTCCTTCCCCTTTGCTTCCTGTTCCACTCCCTCTTTGTATGCTTGCCCTCTCTGTACGTATGTCTCGTTCGTTTCTTGCCCTTTTGTTTTCATTCCCTCTTTCCATTACCTCTCTACGACTCCCTCTCTCCTTCACTTCCTCCACCAACACACCAAACAGCCCCCGCATCACCTATCTTTCCTCGTCTTCCGTACCAATCTACACGTCTCTCATCTCCCTCCATCCTTGCCCTGCATCTCCCCCGGCTTCATCGTCATCTCCTCTCCGTCACTTCAGGACAAAGGACGGAGACGTATGCGAAGCCTCAGGGAAGATCAAGATAGACGTCAAGAAGACGTCTTACTGCGAGGCTACGATCTCACTCACGCTGGTCGAAGCCGGGGCCGTCGACTCCGGCCAATACAGACTGAAATTTAGCAACGAGGTGAACGAAACCAGCACTGAAACCGCCCTCATCGTCAGACGTGAGTTGAAAGACCTTAAATATGTGCTGGAAACCAGTGATGTAGTGGAAAACACTCGTAGAAAAAGAGCCTGTATTCGAGAGAGTATTTTTGCTCTGTTGTAGATATGTACTAAGTCAGGACTGATTCCCTTCCTGTTAGAGCTTTACCAAGTTATGACTGGTTCCCTTCCTGTCAGAGCTTTACCAAGTTATGACTGGTTCCCTTCCTGTTAGAGCTTTACCAAGTTATGACTGGTTCCCTTCCTGTTAGAGCTTTACCAAGTTATGACTGGTTCCCTTCCTGTCAGAGCTTTACCAAGTTATGACTGGTTCCCTTCCTGTTAGAGCTTTACCAAGTTATGACTGGTTCCCTTCCTGTTAGAGCTTTACCAAGTTATGACTGGTTCCCTTCCTGTCAGAGCTTTACCAAGTTATGACTGGTTCCCTTCCTGTTAGAGCTTTACCAAGTTATGACTGGTTCCCTTCCCGTTAGAGCTTTACCAAGTTATGACTGGTTCCCTTCCTGTTAGAGCTTTACCAAGTTATGACTGGTTCCCTTCCTGTTAGAGCTTTACCAAGTTATGACTGGTTCCCTTCCTGCTAGAGCTTTACCAAGTTATGACTGGTTCCCTTCCTGTTAGAGCTTTACCAAGTTATGACTGGTTCCCTTCCTGTTAGAGCTTTACCAAGTTATGACTGGTTCCCTTCCTGTTAGAGCTTTACCAAGTTATGACTGGTTCCCTTCCTGTCAGAGCTTTACCAAGTTATGACTGATTCCCTTCATGTTAGAGCTTTACCAAGTTATGACTGGTTCCCTTCCTGTCAGAGCTTTACCAAGTTATGACTGGCTCCCTTCCTGTCCGAGCTTTACCAAGTTATGACTGGTTCCCTTCCTGTTAGAGCTTTACCAAGTTATGACTGGTTCCCTTCCTGTTAGAGCTTTACCAAGTTATGACTGGTTCCCTTCCTGTTAGAGCTTTACCAAGTTATGACTGGTTCCCTTCCTGTTAGAGCTTTACCAAGTTATGACTGGTTCCCTTCCTGTTAGAGCTTTACCAAGTTATGACTGGTTCCCTTCCTGTCAGAGCTTTACCAAGTTATGACTGGTTCCCTTCCTGTTAGAGCTTTACCAAGTTATGACTGGTTCCCTTCCTGTCAGAGCTTTACCAAGTTATGACTGGTTCCCTTCCTGTCAGAGCTTTACCAAGTTATGACTGGCTCCCTTCATGTTAGAGCTTTACCAAGTTATGACTGGTTCCCTTCCTGCTAGAGCTTTACCAATTTATGACTGGTTCTCTTCCTGTCAGAGCTTTACCAAGTTATGACTGGTTCCCTTCCTGTTAGAGCTTTACCAAGTTATGACTGGTTCTCTTCCTGTTAGAGCTTTACCAAGTTATGACTGGTTCCCTTCCTGCTAGAGCTTTACCAAGTTATGACTGGTTCCCTTCCTGCTAGAGCTTTGCCAAGTTATGACTGGTTCCCTTCCTGCTAGAGCTTTACCAAGTTATGACTGGTTCCCTTCCTGTCAGAGCTTTACCAAGTTATGACTGGTTCCCTTCCTGTCAGAGCTTTACCAAGTTATGACTGGCTCCCTTCATGTTAGAGCTTTACCAAGTTATGACTGATTCCCTTCCTGTTAGAGCTTTACCAAGTTATGACTGGTTCCCTTCCTGTCAGAGCTTTACCAAGTTATGACTGGCTCCCTTCATGTTAGAGCTTTACCAAGTTATGACTGGTTCCCTTCCTGCTAGAGCTTTACCAAGTTATGACTGGTTCTCTTCCTGTCAGAGCTTTACCAAGTTATGACTGGTTCCCTTCCTGCTAGAGCTTTACCAAGTTATGACTGGTTCCCTTCCTGCTAGAGCTTTACCAAGTTATGACTGGTTCTCTTCCTGTCAGAGCTTTACCAAGTTATGACTGGTTCCCTTCCTGCTAGAGCTTTACCAAGTTATGACTGGTTCCCTTCCTGTTAGAGCTTTACCAAGTTATGACTGGTTCCCTTCCTGCTAGAGCTTTACCAAGTTATGACTGGTTCCCTTCCTGTTAGAGCTTTACCAAGTTATGACTGGTTCCCTTCCTGTTAGAGCTTTACCAAGTTATGACTGGTTCCCTTCCTGTTAGAGCTTTACCAAGTTATGACTGGTTCCCTTCCTGTCAGAACTTTACCAAGTTATGACTGGTTCCCTTCCTGTTAGAGCTTTACCAAGTTATGACTGGTTCCCTTCCTGTTAGCGCTTTACCAAGTTATGACTGGTTCCCTTCCTGTTAGAGCTTTACCAAGTTATGACTGGTTCCCTTCCTGCTAGAGCTTTACCAAGTTATGACTGGTTCCCTTCCTGCTAGAGCTTTACCAAGTTATGACTGGTTCCCTTCCTGCTAGAGCTTTACCAAGTTATGACTGGTTCCCTTCCTGCTAGAGCTTTACCAAGTTATGACTGGTTCCCTTCCTGTTAGAGCTTTACCAAGTTATGACTGGTTCCCTTCCTGCTAGAGCTTTACCAAGTTATGACTGGTTCCCTTCCTGCTAGAGCTTTACCAAGTTATGACTGGTTCCCTTCCTGCTAGAGCTTTACCAAGTTATGACTGGTTCCCTTCCTGCTAGAGCTTTACCAAGTTATGACTGGTTCCCTTCCTGTTAGAGCTTTACCAAGTTATGACTGGTTCCCTTCCTGCTAGAGCTTTACCAAGTTATGACTGGTTCCCTTCCTGCTAGAGCTTTGCCAGTTATGACTGGTTCCCTTCCTGCTAGAGCTTTACCAAGTTATGACTGGTTCCCTTCCTGTCAGAGCTTTGGCATAACAATAAAGCTCTACACTGAGCGAAACGTTGTTCCAGTAAAGGCTTGTTCTGAAACGTGTGCCTTTGCTTTTAATCAGTCTGTAATGTTTATGTGTGTTAAGTGGGCGCTATGAATCGACCCCTGCAACCACAAATAGGTGAGTACACACACACACACACACACACACACACACACGCACACACACACACACACACACACTCGGCTACCGCGAGGATATTTTAATCAGGTTTTTAATTCAATTTAAGCCTTGTGATGTCTGGTTTATCCCTGTAATAAACCTTGAGAGCTCTCCTTGGTTTTTAAAACTAATGTAGGAAAGCCAACGTGTGTGTGTGTGTGTGTGTGTATGGTTGCTTGGGTCGATCCACAGCTCCTGTGTGTGTCGATGTATTTGCATCCACATACAGAGTAGGAGCTGGTGTAGGGTTCTTGATCCCAGCAATGGGGATCCAACTCTCCCATTCCCCATGATTGAAATGGTAACCCAATACTCATTTTCATTTGATCAGCTGAGCGGCGTAAACCCAAGGTGACTAAGAAGCCAGAAGATGTTGAGGTCATGGATGGCAAGACGTGTATACTGAGAGCCAAGATCACAGGCTTCCCCAAGCCTGAGGTCAAGTGGTAAGTTGACCTTCGTCATGTGTGTGTGTGTGTGTGTGAACTTTGTCCGGTGTGTGTGACGTGTGAGGGATCTTTGTCGTGTGTGTGTGTGTGCGACCTTAGTTGTGTGACGTGTGTGTTTGTTTGTGTGTGTGTGTGTGTGTGTGTGTGTGTGTGTGTGTGTGTGTGTGTGTGTGTGTTTTTGTTTACTGCACTAATAAAATCTTTGTTTGATTGTTATCATTATTATTATTATTATTATTATTATTATTATTATTATTATTATTATTATTATTACTATTATTATATTATTATTATTATTATTATTATTATTATTATTATTACTATTATTATTATTATTATTACTATTATTATTATTATTATTATTATTATTATTATTATTATTATTATATTATTATTATTATACTATAATCATAACTAACCGCTATATCTAGGACCCCAAACGCAACAATTTCTGACCCGTGTATTATCTGTTTCTCTCATCTTCGTGTAGGTTGAAGGACGGTCACCAGGTATTCCCGACGGACATCATAGACACGGGCGTCACGGCTGATGGCCACTACTACCTCGAGTTCAAGACGGTCAGTCAGGAGGACGCTGGACGCTACGCTGTAGTAGCCAACAACGAAGAAGGGGGCGTGCAAGCCGAAGCCGTCCTCTCCGTCACACGTTAGTGCTAACGAGTTATTTTTCTCTGGCTTCGAACGTTGTTGATGGGGACAAGTAGTATAGAATGCCAACACGGTAGAAAAATTTGTTACCCACACAGTAAGCTATATCAACTCACAAACAGATCTACGTGGGTAGAGTACATGAGTACTCTCCACCCTATATGTACTCATGTACTCGTTTCCCAGGAAGATCTATTTGTGACTTGATAAAGACTCATTATGGGCGAAACGTTGCCGATAAAAGACCTCGCTATACTGCAGTTGTGTCCGTTTTTCTAAACGCTGTTAAACTGAAGTGTTTAGGCGTATATAATGCTGTAGACTCGATCCTCCGGCCGACAACATTTTTTCTTCTCCTTTCCTCAGCTCCTCCTTCGAGGCCGGAGTTCTTGCAGAGCCTGAAGGCCAGCAAGGTCATCCTCGGCTACCCCGTCAGGATGGAGGTCAAACTAGGAGGATCTCCGAGACCAGAGGTCAGTGGTAAGTCTCACGAGGTGGCGAAGGGTCAGGGGTCACGGAGGGTGAAGTCCTGGAGGGTCAGAGCCGTGGGGAGGTCAGGTTGTGAAGGAAGGGTCAGACCGTGGAAGGTCAGGTCATGTCGAGTCAAGTCGCGTCGATATTTGGATATATGGATCAGCCCCCCCTCATTATTATTATTATTATTATTATTATTATGGGAGCGCTAAATCCGTAGGGATTATACAGCGCATCAATCCTGCTTCACCCAGCAAGTGCAGTACATTATTTATATATATATATATATATATAATATATAATATATATATATATATATATTATAAATGGATACATCCTTATAATTAATTAGTCGGATTTACATACTTTAAAATTACACAAATTAATTTGAGATTTAGACTTTCGTATCTTTTATGTCGTTTAATAAAGAGAATGAACATTTGGGTCCCCTCACGGCTGGACAGGAATGGGGACACTGCCCCCTAGTGCCCTCGTCATTATGCCCCGCTGCCCTGAACGAGATTAAAGTCCTAATGCTTACTTCGTGATGATATACTCCGAGAAAGTGTATGTTTTTCAGTGTATACACTTAGAGTTTACTTTCATCCCTACTTAAGTGGTTAAAGTATTCTTTAGTGGTGGTAAACAGGTCGCTCGCAGCCTTAGGTACATAGAATTCATTTTGGGTAGCACTGAATTTTTTGTGGGTAGCATTGAATTCCTTGTGTGTAGCACTGATTTCCTTGTGGGTAGCACTGAATTCCTTGTGGGTATTATTCATTCCTTGGGTAACATTCATTCCTTGGGTAGCATTCATTTCTTGGGTAGTATTGAAAATGGGTTGGGCGAATGTTTGTGTCACTGGATTTGTGTTTAACACGGTATTACAACCCAGGAGTCCCAAAGGCCTGTTATCCTGGGTGTAAAGGGAGCAAAATAAACACAGCAGAAAAACTTTTGACTTGTATTATCCTTCACAAATTTAGAACAGATGTATGTACACTATATACACTATGTACAACAATAAGTATTAGTGCACGGCAGGATAGAGGCCATTAGAGAGCAGATCGTGCTTCAACCAGCTCTAGAATGGGAATGACAAGGGCAGACAGGTGAGTGGTACCCACAACACCTCTGCGGTTGCCAAAACCATCTCCTCATTGGCTGGAACCTGGGTACTGATTGAACGACGGGGCCCCATCATCAGCCCTAGTACCTGGCTCGCTGGTTGGGGGAGATAGACTTTCAATGAGGGTGTGTACATGCGCCGAATAAAGGTTACGTACTCTTTGCTTGCCACACAAGGACTTACCTAGTATGGGCCATTAGGTCTTTGGCAGTGTTCCTCCTTTGGTATGTACTTATGTTCTTAATGACCCTTCATGTATGCTTCAAATCTTATTAACCCAACCATCAACCACGACAGGTTGAAGGATGGTCAACCCATCAACATAGACGGGAAGCATTTCAAGCAGATCGTTGACCCCGACGGTACAGTCCTCCTCCAGATCGACTCTGCCACCGAGGGCGACATGGGAGAGTTCACTTGCGTGGCCAAGAACGCCGAGGGTGACTCGAAGTCATCAGCCATGCTCTCCGTTCTCGGTAAGTCCTCCTCGAGGGGTCGAGCTCTGCCTAGTACGGAACAGGTGGAACAGTCTGCCTAGTAGGGTTACTGAAGCTAAAACCTTGGGTAGCTTCAAAATTAGTATGGGTAAATAGACCTGTTGCAGTGTTCCTCCTTTCTTATGCTCTTACGTAAAGTTAGTGAGAAACTAATCAACTTGAAGTTCAAGGTCTAAAGGGATATAGATTTAACTCTCCTCATACCGTCTGGACGTTCTTTTTTTGATGATTCGAGCTGACTTTAAATTTATCCGAAAGATTCAGCTCAAATCATCTTGAATTCAGGTCCTCAGTTCACTTCCTCTTTAATTCAGCTCCTCTTAAATTCATGACCTCTTAATTCATGTGATGGTGACCACAAATCCTCCCTCTTTCCACTTCCTCCTTCACTCCCTCCTTCACTCCTTTTCCCACAGGCTTCAAGCGCGAGGATGGTCAGCCAGACGGGCCAGCTAGGTTCTCGGAGGGCCTGAAGGACATGACCTTCGACGAGGGTGAGACCATCCGGCTGCCAGTCTCCATGAAGGGTGGTCCAGTACCTCACATGAAGTGGTACAAGGACGGTGAGGAGATCAAGCTGGGAGACCGAGCCTTCTTTACCTACGACGGAGATAGGGTGAGTAACACTTGGAGCTAGGGCAGGATAGAAGGGGATAGGCGAGGAGGATGAATGACAGGAAAGGAGAGAAGGGGCAAAGACCGAGAAGGATAGATTCCTTAGAGCCTGAGAAGAATATAGAGGGCTAGAGAATAGACACACACACACACAGTAGCGACCAGTGAAGAGGCAGGGCCAGGAGCTATGACTCGACCCCTGCAACCACAATAGGTGACTACACACACACGCAATTAACTAATCACAAAAAATAATAATGCTGTCTCCTGCATCCAATTTGAGCACAAAGTGAAATAATGAGACAGAGTCAGGGGAAAAAAAGGCCGACATAATTGCATTTACTTGTTCCAATACTGAGTTATTAATAATAAATAAAGTATTATAGATATGTGATCGACGGGTTAATGGGATCAAAGCTTAATACACGAGGGTCGTTGAGGCTGTACGTCTCTCTTCGCCAGGCTAGAACACTTTAATAACTAAAATAGGGTTTATATTGGACTATCAATGTGTATGTGTGTGTGGGGGGAAGGAGGGGGGATTTATGTATAAATATGCATACAATATATATATATATATATATATATATATATATATATATATATATATATATATATATATATTATATATATATATATATATATATATATATATATATATATATGTATGTATGTATATATGTCGTGCCGAATATGTAAAACTGGTCAATTAGTAAGAACTCATTTAAAATTAAGTTCTTTCTGAAATTTTCTCTTATACGTTTAAAGATATATTTTTTTCATTAATTTTAATGTAAAAATTTATAATTTTGCACCAAAAGGAACTTAGAAAACTTACCTAACCTTATTATAACAAGAACAATTTATTTTAGCCTAACCCAACTAAATATATTTTTGATTTGTTTACAGTAATTTAATACTAAACAAACACAGTGAAATGTATTTTTTTCGTTAGGTTCAGAATGATTTTGGCGAAATTATTGCATACACAAATTTTCACTTGTCCTATATGGCAAGATGAGCGTTGCTATTTAAGCCAAGATCGCAAGTTCTGCCTATTCGGCACGACATATATATATATATATATATATATTATATATATATATATATATATATATATATATATAATATATATATATATATATATATATATATATAAGTGGTGCCTCGAATTTCGAACAGTTCCCAACTCAAACAATTATGTAAATGCATTTTTAGGGGTCTAAAACAGACTAATATAATTTACATTATTCCTTATGGGAACAAATTCGTTCGATATCGGCACTCAAACAGCCTCTGGAACGAATTAAGTTCGTAAGTCGAGGTACCCCAATATGTGTCTTATTAATTATATAAATAAATAATCAATATTTTCCTAACTCGTAAGTAAATCATTAAAAGTAACTTTTGTGTTCTTTACAGAAACAGGTGAAGAGACGGACAAAACAAGTATTAAAAATACGTTAATGATAAAGAACCAGAACAAGATAGCCATTTATTGACCGTATTTATGTTACCTGTTCAATCTCTCGCACGTGGGAACTGTTTATTGTAGTTATAGATCAAAATGTTACCGTAGAAAAATTAGTTGACTTTGTCCCTTTCACTAGAAAACGGGAAGTAGATATTAGTAAAATTTATCAATAATAATAATGATATATACTATATATATATATATATATATATATATATATATATATATATATATATATATATATATATATATATATATATATATATATATATTATATATATTATATATAATGTATATATATTTATGTTCCTTTTTTTTCATTTTAAAGACACACAAAAAAAGAATATATGATTTTCCTTAACGTAAAATTAAATGTTGTAATTAGATTTTTTTATTTTTTTTTTGCTTTACAAACTTTACGATGATGATTTATTCACAATTTCTTCTGTTAATGTTCAGAGGGAATGTTTATTTTTCACAGACACATTCAAGTAATTATGCATTTCGAATATGTTAAAAATTTAAATTTTGAATTTATATTTTGAATATGCTGATTAAAAAATTATATTTTGTAATGCTTAGAATATTTGTTTGGTAATGTTTATTAAAAAATATATATTTTGTAATTTTTAGAATTTATATTTTGTAATTTTTAGATTTTTAGATTTTTTTTTTTTGTTTTTTTCGATGTTTGTCGATTGATAGTCGGTTTGAAAGCTTAGTTAGATTTTATCTTCATTTGCTAGATTATTAAGACTGCATTCTACCTTGATTTTAACATGAGTCATATTTTAAGACACATTACACCTCTCAGTGTATATACGAGACACATTACACCTCTCAGTGTATATATGAGACACATTACACCTCTCAGTGTATATACGAGACACATTACACCTCTCAGTGTATATATGAGACACATTACACCTTCAGTGTATATACGAGACATACACCTCAGTGTATATACGAGACACATTACACCTTCAGTGTATATACGAGACACATTACACCTCTCAGTGTATATACGAGACATTACACCTCTCAGTGTATATATGAGACACATTACACCTCTCATTGTATATATGAGACACATTAACACCTTCAGTGTGTATATGACAATTACACCTCTCATGTATGTATTACGAGACACATTACACCTCTCATTGTATATACGAGACATTACACCTCTCAGTAGTTATATATGAGACACATTACACCTCTCATTGTATATTTGAGACCATTACACTCTCAGTTGTAATTTATGAGACACATTACACTCTTTTGTGTATATTACGAGAACATTTATACTTCAGTGTTTATACGAGACATTTATCACCTCTCAGTGTATATATGAGACACATTACACCTCCAGTTGTAATATGAGAACATTACACCTCTCAGTGTATATACGAGACACATTACACCTCTCAGTGTATATACGAGACACATTACACCTCTCAGTGTATATATGAGACACATTACACCTCTCAGTGTATATACGAGACACATTACACCTCTCAGTGTATATACGAGACACATTACACCTCTCAGTGTATATATGAGACACATTACATCTCTCAGTGTATATATGAGACACATTACACCTCTCAGTGTATATACGAGACACATTACACCTCTCAGTGTATATACGAGACACATTACACCTCTCAGTGTATATACAAGACACATTACACCTCTCAGTGTATATACAAGACACATTACACCTCTCAGTGTATATATGAGACACATTACACTCCAGTGTATATCGGACATTACACCTCTCAGTGTATATACGAGACACATTACACCTCTCAGTGTATATATGAGACACATTACACCTCTCAGTGTATATACAGAGACACATTACACCTCTCAGTGTATATATGAGACACATTACACCTCTCAGTGTATATACGAGACATTACACCTCTCATTGTATATACGAGACATTACACCTCTCAGTGTATATATGAGACACATTACACCTCTCAGTGTATATACGAGACATTACACCTCTCAGTGTATATACGAGACACATTACACCTCTCAGTGTATATATGAGACACATTACACCTCTCAGTGTATATATGAGACACAGTATATCGTTGCTTTCTTCCGTGTTTCTATAGTAAATTTAGCAGTAACTATCATCGTTAAATAAACTGTCTCTAACTTTGAAAAAATATAAATACGTTAACGAGGTGTGTTAACCACGCATCCCGTTTTCTGTTCGGGATTTTTTCACCCAAAACCCAGTTTCTGTGTTTTATGCCTCTCTGCACTATTTTTTAATGTTTATCTCTGTTTCCCGTGTATATTTCTTCGTGTTTTTTTTTTTCAATCGTTCTCGACTTTGCAGGCGTTCTTGGAGGTGTATCCGGCCATGGGTTCCGACACTGGGAGATACAAGTGCGTGATACAGAACACTCATGGTGCAGCGGAGACCGAATGTGACGTTACCATCAGGAAGAGTTTCGAACCCCCGTGTTTTACATCCACCTTCCCCAACCAGGCTAAGGTGAGAAACAGCTCTCGTTTGGGGATTTTTGGGGGAGGGAGGTGGGGCTGTGTTTTATTGGGTTTATTTTTAATTTACCCCTAAGAATTTTGGGGGGCTGTGTTTTATTGGGTTTATTTTTAATTTACCCCTAAGAATTTTGGGGGGGGCTGTGTTTTATTGGGTTTAGTCTTCTTCTTTTTGATTTGCCGGTATTCTCCCGGCCCGGGCCTTTTCCAAGTGGTGGCCCGGCCTTGGCTCCCTCTTTAGGGAGTGTCTGAGACCTAAGTCTCCCATGGGAGGAGGCACAAGTACCTCCTCATCTTTGGGACTAACTGTCCCCAGGCCTAGCCACAAGCTAGGCCTCTCTGGTCTGGGTTTTTTATTTTGTTTTATTTTTAAGTTACCCGTAAGACTTTTTTGGGGGGCTGTTTTATTATATTTATTTTTTTATATTTAAGTTACCCCTAAGAATTTTTTGGGGGGTAGGGTTGTTTTTTCAGGTTATTTTTTCTTTACAAGTTAACCCTTACTATTTTTTTTTATTTTTTTTTATTGGACTGTGTTTCTCGGGTTAACTAATTTATTATATATTTTTTTTAAGTTACCCCTAAGAATTTTATTTCATTTTTTCGCCTTTTCTCAGGTTAATTTATTATTTAGTTTTCTTTTTAAGTTTCCCCTTAAAAATACAATATATTTTTTTAAATATTCTTTGTTTTTTCCTTAACATTTTTATCCCCTCTGGCCAGTTCAGTTCGGTGGGAAAAATCTAATATATTAAAAAAAATACAAGCATTTCCACATTAAAAAAATATCATCGTCAATCAACAGAGCATAGAAAACGAGTTTCAAAAAAAAAAATGATGCCTGAATTGTTTGCCAGATTCAGCGGAAGTTTTCCAATATATATTTATAATATGATTTTCTATAATGGGACTAATATCATTTCTGTAATATATATATATATATATATATATATATATATATATATATATATATATATATATACATTCCTCACTATTTTTGGCCTAATTCGAATGTCTTTTCGCGCGTAAACATTAAACAGCTGCCCGGACGTGACGTCAAGATGTCGGTGAAATACGACGGTGTTCCATTGCCTGAGTTGACTTGGTTCTTCAACGGCAAGCCTATCGTCCCTGACGGCGACAAGTTCCGCATCAGGCGGGAGGGAGACGGACAGACTCTCTACCTCAAGGAATGCACCTACAGCGACTCCGGGAAGTACAAAGTCGTGGCCAAGAACCGAGAGGGACAAATCGAACACGAAGCCGAGCTGGAGGTTGCGGACGACGTGTAAGTTGTGCCCGCCAAAAAAAAAAAAAAAAGTTTTTTTTTTTTTTTTTTTTTTTTTGCCTTCCAGTAATCTATGAGGCGTTTTGAGCTCCAGTTTTGATTCCCCCTTTTTTCCTTTTTGCTCGATTATTGTTTTTGCTAATGATTATTTTACTTTGATTTATTATATTAGGTATGTGCATTCACCTTATTTCACGTGCATTATCCGGATTTCACGTGCATTATCCGTATTTCACGTGCATTCTCTGTATTTCATGTGCATTCTCCTTATTTCACATATGTGAATTCTTATTGCACGTGTAAGTTTATTTAGGTACATGTACACCTAAGTATAATTATCATAGCGTCAATTATTCCACATTCATTCTCCTTATTTCACGAGCGTTCATATTCACATGTATTTCCCTTATTTCACTTGCATTCTTCGTATTTCTCTCGCGTTCTCCTTATTTCACGTGCATTCTCCTTATTTCTTCACTTTTTTCCAGGGACCCCAACAGACGCGCGGAAGCCCCTGTCTTCCTGAAGGTCATCGGGGACCAGGAGGTCTTTGAGGGCTACAAGGCGCTCTTCAAGGCCATTGTTGTGGGTCGTCCAGAGCCAGAGTACAAGTGGTACAAGAACGGTAGTCCGGTAATTGGCACGTAAGTGATAAGATCTGTTGGGATTTTTAACCCGGGGAGTTAGCCACCCAGGATAACGCAGGGTAAGGAGGGTTTGACACCCAGGATAACCCAGGGTAAGGAGGGTTAGCCACCCAGGATAACCCAGGGTAAGGAGGGTTAGCCACCCAGGATAACCCAGGGTAAGGAGGGTTAGCCACCCAGGATAACCCAGGGTAGGGAGGGTTAGCCACCCAGGATAACCCAGGGTAAGGAGGGTTAGCCACCCAGGATAACCCAGGGTAGGGAGGGTTAGCCACCCAGGATAACCCAGAATAAGGAGGGTTAGCCACCCAGGATAACCCAGGGTAGGGAGTGTTATCCACCCAGGATAACCCAGGGTAAGGAGGGTTAGACACCCAGTATAACCCAGGGTAGGGTGGGTTAGCCACCCAGGATAACCCAGGGTAGGGAGTGTTAGCCACCCAGGATAACCCAGGGTAAGGAGGGTTAGCCACCCAGGATAACCCAGGGTAAGAAGAGTTAGCCATCCAGGATATCCCAAGAAAGTCAGTGTGTCATAGTGGACTGTCTGTCTTCCATTGTGGTCCTTCAGTATTGTCCCCCAGGATGCCACCCACACCAGTCCACTAACACAGCCACCTACTTACTGCTGGGTGACCATGGACAGCAGGTGTAAAGTGACTAACACACAGATAACTACTTAATGCTAGGTGAACAGGGACAGCAGCAGTAAGGAAACGCCCAACCTTTCCACCCATGTCGGGGATCGAACCTCCGACACTCAGTGTGTGTGAGGCGAGAGCGTTGCTAACCATCTCTTTTTGGCTGAGGGGAGCAGATAGGAATCCATTTCCTTGCTCTTGTGTCCACTTGTACAGTATTAAATTAGTTTTCCTGAGGGGAGAATAAAGGGTTCCAGTCCCCTCTTTTTATGCCAGTTCTGTTGTCAGTGCTTTTGTGTTGAGGTGAAGAACGTTTGGTTATTGTTGACTGGAAGGAACCGGCATTAATTAGTACCTGAGGTACATACCTGTAGTTTACCTGGAGAGAGTTCCGGGGGTCAACGCCCCCGCGGCCCGGTCTGTGACCAGGCCTCCTGGTGGATCAGAGCCTGATCAACCAGGCTGTTACTGCTGGCTGCACGCAAACCAACGTACGAGCCACAGCCCGGCTGGTCAGGAACCGACTTTAGGTGCTTGTCCAGTGCCAGCTTGAAGACTGCCAGGGGTCTGTTGGTAATCCCCCTTATGTATGGTGGGAGGCAGTTGAACAGTCTCGGGCCCCTGACACTTATTGTATGGTCTCTAAACGTGCTAGTGACACATATGTGGTGATCAAGACACATGTGTAGCAGTTTGGTGTCCTTATTGTTGAAATGTTTCAGTCAAATACAGATGAGGCAGCGGTAGCAGTAGTGATGTAAAGATGGTGTCATCAGTCCATCACTCTTGAAGACGTAGTTGTGAGGTGGTCAGTCCCTCAGCCTGGAGAAGAGTTTTGCTCCATAACTGTTGCACACGTGTGTGTTTTTGTTTTTGGGTTTGGGTTTGGGTTTGGGTTTGGGAAGTTTGCAGAACTAAATTGTTTTAGGGCTGCCAGAGAGAGGAGTACGTAGTGATGTTCTGGTGGCGTGAGTTTTACTCTCTCTCTCTCTCTCTCTCTCTCTCTCTCTCTCTCTCTCTCTCTCTTCTCTCTCTCTCTCTCTCTCTCTCTCTCTCTCTCTCTCTCTTTCTCCTTCAACACAATGGGACTAGAAATGGTGTTTAACAATGCGTGAGTGTATTGATTACTTGTTCACTCACTTTCCTAAGTGGAAGTCAGGCTGGTTGAGGATAGCCTGCAGCTGAGGATAGCCTACAGCTGAGGATAGCCTGTAGCCGAGGATAGCCTGTAGCTGAGGATAGCTTGCAACTGAGGATAGCCTGCAACTGAGGATAGCCTGCAACTGAGGATATTGTGAAACAGACTATAATATAAGGCTGAGGACAGAGGCAAGTAGAGGATAGTACGAAGCCGAGGATAGAGATAAAACTGAGGATATTATGCAGCTGAGGATACTGATGGGAAAAAGTATAAACTCAAAAAATGTATGCAGCTAATTTTTGATTATTAAAAAAAAAGACCAGCCAGCATATTGATAATTAAGACGAACAAGATCGCAACTTGGTAATGGTTACGACTGACGCAGCAAGAAAATGTAAACAGTGAGGATGAGGATAGGCTAAGCAGTGAGGATAGTCAGGCTATGGAAGTAACTGCTTGTGGATAGTGTAACCCCTGAGGGACCAGGAGCTCTACCTAAGGTGAGCGTGGAGCTGGTTTGGACTCAGTCCTCCCCTGGAGTGGACGTCAAATACGCGAGAGTGGAGGTGATTTTAGAAGACTGTTGACCGTTGCCAGGGACTGATGAAAGGGCTGCCAGAGAGGGGAGAATAATGATGGAAGAATGTTGGAAATAGGTCGGAGGGAAGATAATGTGAATAGAATGCATGAGAAATGGGCGAGAAAGGGGAATATCAAAGAATAAGGAACACTACATCTGATTCTTTTCCTCTTAGCCAGAGTCGCGTTAAGTGTAGACGGTTTTGGTCTCCTGGGTTACGAATAATAATAATAGTAACTAATAATAATAATGAAAATATCCACGGAACGGGCGGGGATTAAATCCACTGCAAATTCCGTGGTTCGTTTTCATTCGTATTCGCTTTCGTGAGTAATAATGAAAGAAACTCATTCTGTTTTTCCTCTGGACCTTCACTCATATTCACTCTTTCCCACTCAAGTACTTGCACTCACACTCCTTTCCATCTGGACTTGCACTCACACTCCCTCCCTCCCTCAGGAATCGCGTGGTGATCGAGAGGGACTCTGAAGGTCTCATCCGCCTTAGTATAAGATATGTCAACACTGAAGACGCTGGTGTCTACATGCTCAAGGCTTGGAACGAACACGGGGAGGCTTCCTGCCAGGGCAAACTCATCTGTGAGAGTGAGTACCTACCTGACGGAGTTCTTGACGCAGTACCTGACGGAGGACCTGATGGAGGACCTCCTTGGCGATGTACCTGAGGGATGACCTGATGGAATATCTGACAAAAGGATTGCATGACTTGACTTACCTGAGCAACAAAGTCCAGACTAACTACTTCTACAGGACTCTCACCAGAACCCCTTTAAAGTGACAGACTCTCAGAAGAGCCCCTTTAAAGTGGCAGACTCTCAGCAGAGCCCCTTTAAAGTGACAGACTCTCAGCAGAGCCCCTTTAAAGTGGCAGACTCTCAGCAGAGCCCCTTTAAAGTGGCAGACTCTCAGCAGAGCCCCTTTAAAGTGACAGACTCTCAGCACAGCCCCTTTAAAGTGGCAGACTCTCAGCAGAGCCCCTTTAAAGTGGCAGACTCTCAGCAGAGCCCCTTTAAAGTGACAGACTCTCAGCAGAGCCCCTTTAAAGTGGCAGACTCTCAGCAGAGCCCCTTTAAAGTGACAGACTCTCAGCAGAGCCCCTTTAAAGTGGCAGACTCTCAGCAGAGCCCCTTTAAAGTGGCAGACTCTCAGCAGAGCCCCTTTAAAGTGACAGACTCTCAGCAGAGCCCCTTTAAAGTGACAGACTCTCAGCAGAACCCCTTTAAAGTGACAGACTCTCAACAAAGCCCCCTTAAAGTGACAGACTCTCACCAGAGCCCCCTTAAAGTGACAGACTCTCACCAGAACCCCCTTAAAGTGACAGACTCAGCAGAACTTAAAGTGACAGACTCTCACCAGAGCCCATCCCCCTGTTTTGCCATATTTTGATATAGTTATACACCTAAAATCGTATTAACAACTCAAGGAATGGATGGAGTTCGAACCCATGGAAACCCAGTCCTAAAACTAGCAGAGCTAGTACTTCATGGGTTCAAGCCATGGGTTCGAACACTCCCCCCCTCATCTACTTCGCTAGTAGTTCACCTATGCTATTTCTTCACCCTTCTTCCACAGCCTTGACAAGCCGTATCAAGCGCCCCGTCGGGGATGAGTACCAGGGCTTCGACAGGATACGACGGTCGGGCGTACCCATGCCCCTGCCGGAGAAGCCGATGATCAGTGCCCTGTCAGACCGTCGGGCTACCATCAGCTGGCTGCCCTACCTGCCCTCAACGCCCTGCCCACCCGTCACTTACCAGGTGGAAATGTGCGAGAGTCCTGAAGGAGAGTGGGTCACCGTCAGGACAGGTAAGGGGGTTAGAGAGAGAAATGGGCTGGGTGTGAGAGCTGGGTTTGTTGGGGGATTAGTGCGACAAGTGGATTTGTTGGGGGATTAGTACGACAAGTGGATTTGCTGGAGGATTAGTGCGAGAGGTGGATTAGTTGATTGTTAGGTTATGGTTCACAGCATAAGAGGAGGGAGAGAAAGAGTGACAGGGAGGAAAAATAGGAAAAGAGAGCTGGAGAGGAGACGGAGGACGGGAGAAAGTGTAAAGTGACAAAATACAATAACAGAGAAATAGCACATACCACAATAAAATAGCTGTAAAATAAGAGACAGAAAAAAGCGTCGAAGGAAAATGTAAACGAAGGGAGAAGTCAACCATCGGCGTTTAAAATCACCTTTGTTCTTCACCTATTCATCTGTTCATGTTCTTAAATGTTCATGCGATTATCATTTCAGCTGTTGGTGTGATTATTGTTCACTTAAGGAACAAAAAGGCACGGTACCGTGGCTGGAACAATACACAAACGTAGTTATCAGTGTCTCCTCTGTGCTGTTATTTGTGTATTGTTCGCCTGTTCAGTTGTTCATCTTCTCACACGTTCACTGTTGTACCTGTTCATGGGTTCACTCTTGGGTATCGACAGGTATCCGCGGCTCTGGCGTCGACATCAACAACCTGTTGCCTAAAAGTGACTACAAGTTCCGTGTGAGGGTCGCTAACAAGTACGGTGTGTCGGAGCCGTCACCCTACGTCATGACATATCGGTAAGCTTATTCCTGGAAGTTCACTGGAACCTAGAGCTCTCACCCTGCGTCGTTACCTACTGGTAAGTTTACTCCTGGAAGCTCACTGGAACCTAGAGCTCTCAACCTGCGTCGTGACCTACTGGCAAGTTTACTCTTGTTAGCTCGTTGAGACTCAGTTCTCACTCTTCGTCAGGAGCAACATACTAACCCCTGGTAGTGTGTTAAGGTCTAGAGCTTTCACGCTCCATCAGGGCCTTCAGGTCAACTAACTACTGGTAGCTTTGTGGGATCTGCAGGTAAACTATTTCCTGGTAACCGGTCAGGGTCTCCATCTGATACTCATCTGACTACGAGGTAAACAAAGTCCCGGAAGGTTGTTGGAACCTTCAGTTGTGATTATTCTGATTTAAGATGCGGCTTCTTAACTTCTTTTGGTCAATATATGACGAATTATAGCATATTATAGTGGTTTTCAGATGGCAAGACCTGATTGTGTTAGTCATCAGGTAGCGTCGTCTCGCTGACACTAACTTCGCGTCTCCTCTTCCTGCAGGTACAAGCTGGAGCTGCCACCTATTAGCTACGAGCCCAAGCTGGATCCCAATTACGATTTCAGAGGCGACGGCCCCTACGTCCCCGAGGGCTTCCGGATCAACCGCGATACCTACGGTAACTACTACGCTGCCCCGCGCTTCCTTCGTCTGGACCACGATACCCAGTACGGCCTGAAGGGCTTCAACGCCTCCATCAAGTGGTATGCCTATGGCTACCCCATGCCCAAGGTCAGATTCCTCAGAGACAACATTCCCATCGACGTGGGTGGCAAAGGTCGCTACAAGTTCACCCAGGAGGCCACGGGGGAGATCTGTCTCTTCCTCGACAGGTACCTGAGAGATACATGTTTACTCACGAGATCGTAATAACATGGAACGGGTGGCTTACGCACTGGCCTGGAGTTCAAGCACTCGCTTGCCATAATAATAATAATAATAATAATAATAATAATAATAATAATAATAATAATATTTATTTCTGCAAGTAGAATCCCCACCCATTCCATGGTTTAAATACATATTTGCTTTAGTACAATGATGTATAATCCCGACTTTTAAATTTACCTGTGCAAGAAATTCACACAAGTACACATACACACTGACCCGCCACCAGAGTTGTGTAAAGGCATACAAAAACTACGTATAAACACCCACGTATAAACCACGTATAAACACCCACCCGCAAAAGATATGTGCAGCACTTTGGTACATCTGTTTATGAAGTCGTCTGCAGTGTGTGTGTGTGTGTGTGTGATCTTGTATGGGAGAGAGATAGCCATTGGCGTGAGATATCATGTATAAAGATAACCGGGTGTTGTACGTGTGTCTTCTGTATCATTCTGTGGTTTATTCCAAGTTCTTTTCTTCTGTTTTAATCTTAATTTTTTTTTCTTCAGAATCTTCCTCTTTCTTTTTTTTTTCTTATGCTCCTTTTCTCTTCACTTTCAATTCAAAGTTTATTCTCTATAAGGATTACAATGCTGAGTTTACAGAATTTGGTTATTGTGTGGTTTACATGTAGTAAAATAATAATTACAGAGTGTACCACTAGAACACCCTAGCATGGCTAGGCATTCGGGCAGACTTAGATTAAATCTTAGTTTAAAATATTACAAAATTATGAGGTAAGTTGGTATTATGGCTAAGTGACTAAATACTAGTTTGTGAGTTTAGCAATGTGAATGCTTTTGTTTTGGCACTATACATAGTTTCAGTATTGGAGTATCACAGGCCAACTTATGACTAGTTAAGATTCATTATTTTGAGATTGAGATTGATATTTCTGTTTATGGTCAAATGAGTGAGTGAGAGTAGTGTGAACCACCAGGTGGTATTCGTATTATTAGTTGACAGGGTGTATCAGGGAGATAAAGATGTTTTCTGATGGTAGTTTTGAAGGTGATGAATGTGTCTGCAGTTCTAGAGTTCTCAGGTAGGGTGTTCCAGATTTTAGGGCCTTTGACATACATTGAATGACTTAAGAAATCGTAATGACACGATTGCAAATAAACCATACCCCCGGCCGGGATTGAACCCGCGTCATAGAGTCTCAAAACTCAGCCCGCGCGCTAGCCACTAGACCAGCTTGCCACAATAAGATTCATCCAACTAGGTATATTTCTACACCTAGGAAAGTTGCACAGGCACCTCTGTGACCACAAATGCAAGTTTTTACAGACGAATCTCCAGCTAGCGTGGCCGTGACGAACTCTAGCTCAAGTCCCTTCACTGCCGTCAACATGACTTAGAAATCGTCATGACACGATTGCAATAAACCATACCCCGGCGGATTGAACCCGCTATAGAGTCTCAAACTCCAGCCGTCGCGTAGCCCTAGACGTAGCCCATAAGATTCTCCAACTAGTATATTTCTCACCATGGAACAGTTAGCAGCACCTCTGTGACCACAAATCAATTTTACAGACGAATCTCCAGCTAGCGTGGCCGTGACGAACCTACAAGTCCTTCACTGCTAACATGACTAAGAAATCGTAATGACCACGATTGCAAATAAAACCAACCTGTGGATGAATCTTATTGTGGCTAGCTGTCTAGTGGTAGCCGACGGGCTGGTTTTGAGATTTTATGACCGCGGTTCAACCCGGCGGGGTATGGTTTATTTGCAATCGTGTCAATACGTTCTTAGTCTGTTGACGGCCCGTGAAGGGACTTGAGCTAGAGTTCGTCCGGCCAGGGTAGCTGGAGATTGTCTGTAAAAATTGCATTTGTGGTCACAGAGGTCCTGTGCTAACTTTCTATGGGTAGAATATACTAGTGGATGAATTAATTTGCTAGCGGGTTAGTGGAGCGCGACGGGTGGAGTTTTGAGACTCTATGACCGCGGGTTCATCCGGCCGGGGGTATGGTTTACATACATTGAATTTTTGTAAAGTTTAGTCGGACACGGGGAATGTCGTAGAGATTTTTGTTGGTGTTTTGCCTGTGGGTTTCTGTCACAATTTATCAAGAAAGTATTTTAGGTCTTAATCTTGTCCTTCTCTCCCCTCTCTTTTCCTCTCTCTCCTCTTTTCCCTCTTCTCTTCTCTCTCTCTCGTATGCCATCCTCCCCCTTGATTTCCTCCTTTTCTCCTTATACTTTCCCTCTTCCCCCCACCATTCTTTCTCCTCTCCATCCCCCCTCTTTTCCCTCTCATTCCCTTCCCTCCTCCTCACTTCTTAACCTTATTCCCTGCCTCAAGAACCACCTCCATCTCCTCCTCCATCACCCCTCTTCGTACTCCCGTCTCCCATCCCCCCCCTTACACACAACCTCAGCAGTAAACAGACCAGCTGCCACCAAAGACCAGCAACGTGAAAGAGCAAAACTTTTTCCACCAGGATGTCAAAGGAAAATTGTTGCCCTTGGTTTATCCTGGAGCTGTTGACATTTTTTCTTGTGTACTGTTATTTTTGACGTGTTTTCTTTAATGTGTGTTTTAGTTATAAATTTAAAATTTCTGTGTGAGGGTTTTTAGTTTGGTAGTGGAAGGATGATGTGGTTGTATAGATGGTTGTGGGAAGTACACAACATGCATTAAATACACACACACATTTTTCACCTAAATACATACACACATACTCACCTAGAATACATACACGTAAATAAAACACACAAATACTCATCTAAATACATAACGTAAACAACACACAACAACTAAAAAACACACAAACATACACACAATAAATTTCAAAAATACATACACACAACTAAATACATACACAGCACCTAAATACACGCACATACCTAATACACACAAAATACACCATAACAACACATAAATACACCACACCTAAAAAAACAGAAAACCACTTGGAATTTCTCACAATCGCCTACACACATTTCTCACACTTCTCTCCCCTCGAACACCCGCATCTCTCTCTCTTTACAACATCGACGCTCCCGTCGAGGAATGACGGACGCCGAAAGTGGGTCGCTACGAGTGCAAACGTCACTAACGAACACGGAGAGTCCCGTCAGAGGATCAAAATGGCACTCTGTGAGTACCCTTAGAGTACTGCACCCTCGGGAAGAGATCCACATCAAGGGAAATTTTGGGTCGATTGTGAGGATCCCCGGTTCCCCCTGCGAAGTCAGGTGGTATCGGTTTGGGGAAAAACCCATCGTCCCTTCCCTTAGGTTAGGGGTCGGTATTTTTATTATATTTTATTATTTTTTATTATTATTATTATTTTTTAAATTTTAAATTTTTATTACTTTTTTTTTATTGTTTTTTATTTTATTATTATTATTATTTTTTTTTTTTTAAAAAATTATTTTTATTATTATTTTTTTTTTTATTATTATATTATGATTTTTTATTTTTATTATTATTGTTTTTTTTTTATTTTTTGTTATTTTTTTATATTTTTATTTTTTTTTTTTATTTTTTTTACTATTTTAATTTTTTTATTTTTATTATTTTATTTTATTTTATTATTTTTTTTATTTTTTTTTTGTTTTGTCTTATTATTTTGTGGTCTATTTATTTTTATGGTTTTTTGTTGGGGGGGTTTTTGTTTTTGTGGGTTTTGTTGTTTGGGGGGGTTTGGGGGGGGGTTGTGGTGATTTGGTTTGTGGGGGGTATGTTGTGGGAGAAAAGGTGTTTGGGGGGGTTTTTGGGTTGGGGGTTTGGGAGGGGTTTTTGTTGTGAGGGTGGTGTATTTGGGAGGAATTTGTTGTGTTTTGTGAGTGTTTTTGTTTGTGAATTTGTTGTGTTTGTGAGTTATTTGTTGGTTTTGTGAGGGATTTGTTGTGTTTGTGAGTGTTTTTGTTTGTGAGTGTTTTTGTTGTGTTTGGGTGTATTTGTTGTGTTGTGATTTATATTTTTGGTTTTTGGAGTTTTTGTTTTTTGGATGTTTTGTTGGTTTGTGAGTGTATTTGTTTGTTTTGTGGGGTTTTTGGGTTTTTGTGGTTATTTTTGGTTTTTTTTTAAATTTTTTTTTTATTTTTTGTAAATTTTGTTTTATTTTTTGGGTTTTTATGTATTTTTTTTTTTTTTTTTTGGTTTAAATATTTTTTTTTTTATTATATTTTTGGTTTGTGAGGTATTTGTTTGTTTTGGAGTATATTTTTTGTGTTTGGAGGGTTTTTTTTTTTGGTTTGTGATGTATTTGTTGGTTTGTGATGTATTTTTTGTTTTCGTGGTATTTTTTGTGTTTGTGGTTTTTCGTTGTTTTGTAGTGTTTTTTTGGGTTTGGAGTGATTTGTTTTTTTCGGAGGTATTTGTTTTTTGTAGGTTTTTGTTGTTTTGATGTTTTTGGGTTTTTTTTAGTGTTTTTGTGTTTGTGAGGTTTTTGTTTGTTTTGGATTTTTTTGTTTGTGAGTGTATTTTTTGTGTTTGTGAGGTATTTTTTGGTTTGTGGGTATTTTTGTGTTGTGGTTATTTGTTGTGTTTGTGAGTTTTTTGTTGTGTTTGTGAGTATATTTTTTGTGTTTGTTAGTGATTTGTTGTTTGTGGTGTTTTGTTTGTGAGTGTATTTGTTGTGTTTTGAGTGTTTTTGTTGTGATTTTTTGTTGTGTTTGTGGGGTTTTTTTGGGTTTTTGTGAGTGTTTTGTTGTTTGTGAGTGTATTTGTTTGGGTGTATTTTTTGGTTTTGGGAGGTTATTTTTTTGTTTGTGGAAATTTTTTGGTTTTTGTATTATTTTTTTTTGTGATGATTTTTGTTTTGTGAGTTATTTGTTTTGGGTTTTGGAGTGTTTTTGTTGGTTTGGGGTGTTTTTTGTTGGTTTTATGTATTTGTTTTTTTTGGAGTTTTTTTTGGGTTTTTTTGGGGGTTATTTGTTGTTTTGGAGGTATTTGTTGGTTTTTGGGAGGTATTTTTTTGTTTGGGGAAAAAATTTTGGTTTGTATATTTTTTGTGT